TGAACATTCACATCATCCTCACCGTAGCTGCCCTATCCGTCGAGGTGGGGACAGATAAAGCCTTTGACACTACCCACAGATACGGAGTTAAAGAAAATAAGAAAATAAGAAAATAAGAAAAAAAAAGAAAATAAAAAAATAAAAAAATAAAAAAATAAGAAAAAAGAAAAATATGATGATCTGTGGGATGTGTTACTTGCTTTGTGGCAATTGGATTGTTCTGTGGGATGTGTCATTTGCTTTGTTTGGCTGATAGGCTTTCTTTCCCTGTCAGGTTTGGTTTCCTCCTTTTCTTTACCTCTTTGCCTTTCGGGTGTGTGCAAGTGGGTCCTTGCGACACACGGGGATGGGGGCAGCCATGGCTGTGTGCAAGTGGGTCCTTGCGACACACGGGGATGGGGGCAGCCATCGGTCAACCTGTCATTCACGTGGCTGGCCTTGTACGTAAGAGGTGATGAACAAGTGGGGCTCTCCTTCCTTCCTTTCCTTTTCTTGTTTTGTCTTTTTCTGGCTTTTGCGCTCCGATTCACAGTGTGACAATATATACATCAGCGCCATTTAGGTAAATGCATATTAGAATAGTAAAAGCATAAGCTTGTAATGTACGGCTTTTGCAATGGCTTTACAATAATGTCTCCAATGCGGACATGACAACCGACATTCGAGAACCCGAATGACTCGTCCGAAAATCCCAGCATACCCGCCAACGTTACACAACACAACCTTGTGATCCGTTTACTGACCACATCAAGGTCGTACATGCACATGAGGTAGTTCGTGCTACGAACTTGCGCCATGTGTTACAATTGTCGGATGTAGTTGCATTGCATCCCGACCCTCAAGCAGCCACACATGTTTGTGTATGTGACAAACTGATGCCACCCACACGTGTCCAGTTTTGTAACTTCACTAATGTGGCCTTGAGTGTTACTCCTGGCATGATCTTATCTGACTTCTCTCATTGCGAATGCCGCAGAGCCTTTCCACATTGTTCGATCTTGTGGAAGGCCATACTGTGTCTGTTGACTAGAATATCATCTCCGATGATAGCCTTCGCAAGCTTTTTCAAGAAGGCTCGAAGTATCGGCTGAATGGGGAAATTGCCGATGTGCTCCAGACACTGGCAATTGGACTAGATGAGTCAATTGCCAATTACAAAAGGTTGTTGCATGCATCTGGGTGCGCAGTGCGCGCTGTGCGGTGCGCTGCGCACGTCTGGTGTGCTGCGCGCATGTGCGCAATGTATATTTCCATGTTCTGGCGGTAGATTCATTTGATTTTGTTCTCTCTCTCTCTCTCCCCCCTCCCGATTACTTCCGCCGCTTCCCACCATCCCACCTTCGGCCTTTCTCCCGCCTTCCGCCATCCACCATCGCTACTTCTCTCTCCCTCTTCCCGCCATCTCTCTCTCTCTCTCTCTCTCTCTCTCT